CGGTTCGACGTATTTTCTCGCCTATCACAGAAGGGCAAAGCCCAGCAAATCAAGAACGGGAGTTGCTGCGATAACATGGTGAGATGGCTGGCGAAAACGTTCAGGGCATTGAGTGGCGCGTGGGTTCCAGCTGATACCATGGATCTGAACTCGTCGTTCTGTTAAGATGGATGGCGTGATCGGACGTCGTGGGCGCGGTGAAAAGGAGAGAAACTCAGCTATGCTGCTCAAGCCAGTGCTGTGGGCCCACGATATCTGCCCAATACGCGCGACGCAGGGCGCGGGCTGCGCGTTCGTCGCTTCCAGTGGCGCAGCCAGGACGTTCGATTGCGTTGGGATTCCCGCGGCTCTCCTGCCTGCAGTCACGTGGTGCACAATGTTCAAGCGCAGTATGAGACGCCTGCGGCCGCGTCGATGGGACACAGAGTGGGGCCGCCTAGCGTCGAGCCGCTGGAGCCAATAGCAGACAGACTCGAATCGTTGGCGGCGGGCGCGCTACTGCAGAGCGGGCACGCGATGACTTGTCTCATTCAGACAGTTCATCGTGTAGTTTTGCAAAAGACCGCGTGATTCAGAAGCCACGACGTCAGCGATGGCAACTTGCAGGTCGATTCTTTAGCATCTTCTTGGCGTCTGGCGCCTTGGGCGCTTCATGGGTGCGCTTGTGCAGCGCGAGCGAGGTGTCATTGGGTTGGTGCGTGGAGCTGCATCTAAGATGCAGCTGGTGGGCGTTCTGGGCGGAGCTTCGGCGCGGGTCGTCGAGATCGCGAGAGTAGCGCAGATGATGTGCGACCTGCCTGAGGGCATCGGGCCGGTGGCCGGCGAGGAGTTCGAGGTGGACGTGAAAACGTCCGCGAATCAAGTGTGGATGATGGGGCATTGGCGAGTCACGCTTCGACACCGCATTCGCGCGGAGTTTCTTCGAGCTGCAACGTTTCCGTATTGGCCGAACAAGCGCAGGAATATTCGCGTGCGTTGGGTCGGCTTTGAAGGAGACGGGAAAACAGTCAGCCAACCCAGTCTTGGCCTCGTTCTGGTTGTTGATGGGATACGTGAAAGCGGCAAGTTACCAATGTCGCCTGTGTGCTCGTGGCGTCTGCGATGTGGTCAAGGGTTACATTGGTTCAGTATGGCAGGCGCGATTGGGGGCCTTGTGGATTAGAAGTCAACGGAAAATCTCCAGGGGAATCTCCGGCAAATCTCCAGGCTTTGCAAATCTCGAGAGAAATCTCCAGGTCATTTCCGCCAGCGCGCAGAAATCAGCGGAACATTTCCGGAACGTCACAGGCCAATCAAATCTTCGGCGCGCAGCAATGTCAGACAAATCGGTGGGATATCTCAGGCAAATCTACGGTAAATCTCTGGCGCGCAGAAATCAGGTAAATCCCCAGAAAGGTCCAGCAGAGTGCAGGTCCTGGGAGGTCCAGCGTGGTGGAGGTCCACGCGGATCTGCCGAGACCGCGCGGCTCCCTGGGGGGTTGCGAACCGCGCAATTGTCGCCACTTTCGTGGGCTCCTGGGAGGTCAGCGGAGTGGAGGTCCACGCAGATCTGCCGAGACCTCGCGGCTCTGTGGGGGGCTGCGATCTGCGAAACTGTCCCCTTTTTCGTGGGCTCCTGGGAGGTCCAGCGGAGTGGAGGTTCACGCGGTTCTGCCCAGACCTCGTTGCTCCCTGGGGGCTGCGAACCGCGCAATTGTCGCCACTTTCGTGGGTGGGCTCCTGGGAGGTCCACAGTAGTGGAGGTCCACGCGGACCCAGCCTAGACCTTGCGTCTACCTGGGGGACTGACGCGTCTTTCATCGTGTTCGTTTGCGTCGAGCAGTCCTTACTTCAGCTGCCCAGTAATAGAAGAGGGTTGGGCACGTCGCCGGGTCATTTGGAAACAGGAGACTCGCGGGAATTAGCGGGGCGTTTTTTGCCAGCCATTTTGTGTTGTTGGCTCCTCGTTTCGAAGAGACAGTGCCCCGCGTTTCCCCTCCCTCCTCCCATCCGTTGCTTCTGCCCTCGGCGTGTCCTCGCGCGTCGCCGCAGGGTTTGCGTGGCGCCACCGCGCTTATGTCGGCACACCCCTCATGCGTTTCGTGGCCCCATAGGGAGCTCCACCGAAGGCCCCAGTGGCACGGCTCGCAGGGCGCCCCCGTACCGTGTCGGCACACCCCTCACGCGTTTCGTGGCCCCACAGCTCCACCGAAGGCCCCAGTCGCAGGGTTCGCATGGTTCCAATGCGCCAATCCTGGCACACCCCTCACACGTTTCGTGGCCCAAGGGAGCTCTTCCGAAGGCCCCAGTGGCACGGTGCGCATGGCGCCGGCGCCACCCATGTCGGCACACCCCTCACGCGTTTCGTGGCGCCATAGGGAGCTCCACCGAAGGCCCTAGTGGCAGGTTCCGCGTGGCGCCATTGCGCTCATTTCGGCACACCCCTCCTTCGCTTCGTGGCCCGACAAAGAGCTCCACCGAAGGCCCCAGTGGCAGGGTTCGCGTGGCGCCGCCGCGCCCATGTTGGCACGCCCTCACACGTTTCGTGGCACCATATCACCGAACACGTTCCATTATTCGAAAAGTACAAGGTCCTAAAAACAAGCGTCAGCCTCGATCTAGTAGATTGCAAATTCGCCTCTGCGGACCCGGGCCATTTGCGAATAGTTCCTTAGCGAGTAGTGGAAGGCGCTTGTCATGGGGAGCTCCAGCGAGGGCCCCAGTGGCAAGGTTCGCGCGCCGCCACCTCACCCATTTTGGCACACCCCTCGCGCGTCTCGTCGCCCCATAAGGAGCTCCACCGAAGGCCCCACTGAAAGGGTTCGCATGGCGCCACCGCAAGCATTCACCTATGTCGGCACACCTCTCACACGTTTCGCGGCCCCATAGGGAACTCCACCGAAGGCCCCACTGGCAGGGTTCGCATGGCGCCACCGCACCTAATCACCCATGTCGGCACACCTGTCGCACGTTTCGTGGCCCCATAGGGAACTCCACCGAAAGCCCCATTGGCAGGGTTCGCATGGCGCCACCGCACCTATTCACCCATGTCGGCACACCTCTCACACGCACACGTTTCGTGGCCCCATAGGGAGCTCCACCGAAGGCCCCAGTGGCACGGCTCGCAGGGCGCCCCCAGACCGTGTCGGCACACCCCTTCACGCGTTTCGTGGCCCCACAGAGAGCTCCACCGAAGGCCCTAGTGGCAGGGTTCGCATGGCTCCAAAGCGCCCATTCTGGCACACCTTCACACGGTTCATGACCCCAAAAGGAGCTCCACCGAAGGTCCCGCGCTGCTGTCGGCGTCGCCCATCGGTCGCAGGTGTTTGCCGAGCACAGGCAAGCTGGGCACCCAGCGCTCCTGCAGCACGGCCCGCCTGGCTGGGGGCTAAGCAGCTATTTTCGTGGCGTTCAGCTGCTGCCCGAGGGGCTGGAGCGAATGTTGCAGGTCTTGCATTGCGGAAGCAGCCAGCGCGGCTTCCACCACTAGGTAGGAGTCGTCCAGATAGCTGTGCAGCTTCGCCAGGGTGTCAACTGGAGCAACTCCGCGTGGAACCTGTCCAAGGCAACCCTCTGCGCCACGGACAGAGACAGACAGACAGACAGACAGACAGACAGACAGGCAGGCAGACAGACAGCCAGCCAGCCAGCCAGCCAGACAGCCAGACAGCCAGAGACAGACAGACAGACAGACAGACAGACAGACAGACAGACAGACAGACAGACAGACAGACAGACAGACAGCCAGACAGCCAGACAGCCAGCCAGCCAGCCAGCCAGACAGACAGACAGACAGACTCCTCCGCCTCCTCCTTCCCCTCCTCTTTCTCTTCCAGTGTTGTGTATATATGACTATGTATGCATGTATGTAAGTACGTATGTAGGTATGTATGTATGCATGTATGTTTGTATGCATGCATGCATGTATGCCTGTCTGTCTGTCTGCCTGTCTGCTTGTCTGTATGTATGTATGTATGCATGTATGCACGTATACATGTATGTATGCATGCATGCATGCATGTATGCATGTATGCACGTATACATGCATGCATGTATGCATTTATGTTTGTTTGTTTGTTTGTTTGTATGCATGCATGCATGCATGTATGTATGTATGTATGTATGTATGTATGTATGTATGTATGTATGTATGTATGTATGTATGTATGTATATATATATATATTATATATATATATATATATATATATTGTATGCTTGCATGCATGCATGCATGCATGTGTATGTATGCATGTATGTATGTATGTATGCATGTATGTATGTATGTATGCATGCATGCATGCATGATTGCATGCAGGTATGAGTATGCATGTATGATATGCATCATGCATGATGTATGTATGGTATTATGTATGGATATATGTATATGTATGTATGTATGTATGATGTATGTATGTATGTATTATGTATGTATAGTATGTATTATGTATGTGTATTATGTGGTTATATATAAACGTATATATATAGGTGTGTGTGTGTGTATGTGTGTATATGCACATATATATATACATATAGATATCTGGAGTTCCGAACCTTCGGAATTTAGCGACCCGGTGTGACCTCTCGGCTGTCACAGCCAAGAGGCGGGATTCTTGCACACGTTTTCACGGGGGCCTCAGGCCCACGCCTTGTCCAGCAGGTGACGCTGCCTCGTTGCATCGATCGCGTCGGGGCCCCGCAGTCCCCGCAGCCTCCTTCCCCCTTTTCCATCCTCCTCCTCCTCTCCTCCTCCTCCTCCTCCTTCCTCCTCCTCCCCCTCCTCCCTCCTCCTCCTCCCCTCCCCTCCTCCCCTCCTCCTCCTCCTCTCCTCCTCCTCCTCCCCCCATCCTCCCTCCTCCCTCCTCCTCCTCCTCTCCTCCTCCTCCTCCTCCTCCTCCTCCTCCTCCTCCTCCTCCTCCCCGCAGACCCCTCCCCGTCTCCGAACCGCCGACAGGAGTCGGGCAGGCCGCCGTGCCAGGCCCCGCCGCAGCGGCCGCGGCCCGCGCGCGGGTGGGCGCCGCAGCTCTTCAGCGCGAAGCGGCCGCGGCGCCCCTCGGAGGGCGCGGCCGGCCCGGGGCCCGCGCCCGCGCCCGCGCCCGCCGGGGACCTCTCCAGCAGCCCCGCCAGCGAGGCGCGGCGGCGCGCTCAGAGTTTGTTGGTTTTGATTGTCGCTGTTTGTACGCGGTTGTCTCGTAGAAAAAGCAATTCTCCAGACGCGTTTTCTCTTAGATGTTAGGTGGTTTTTTTGCGCTCAAGAATGTATATGTTACGTAGAGATTTTGGTGTTCCGCCTCGGCCGTGCGGCGTGAGAGTGGCCCTGCGCTCGAGGGGCCCCTCGCGTGCTCGCGGCGCGAAAGCGTCGCGGCGGGAGGCTGTTTTTCTGCTCGTTGTGGGCCTCTGGGGGCCGTGGCCAGGCCCCAGGGCCGTCAACGAACGACTCGGGATGGAAAGCCGGTCCCGGGGAAAGGGTTGGGCCTTCCGGGGGCTCAGCGGTGAGAAAAATCAGAACGTCGCATGTCTGGGACCTGTGGTGCGGGCCCACAGGGGTTCCCCGGAGTAGTGGCTTGCGCGCGTAGATCTGGCCAGCCCGCGGCCCCTCGGAACCGCGCATCAAAGGCCTCTCTTGTCTCGTAGGGCCACTGAAAGTAAAGCTGACACGGGGGCGGGGGGAGGGGTCGGTAGCAACTTCGGGGGCCCCCGTATTTTTCGGAAATCAGTTTTTCGAGTGCACCAGCGTGCGCTGGCGCCCGGTAATCGATGAGAGGCGATGTCTTGGCGTCGATCGGCGTCCATGTAGCGTCGATTAGCGTCGGTGGGCGTCCACTGGCATCAGTTCGCAGCAGCCACCGAGATGGCATGGGAGGCCTCCGTGAGGCCCCCGTGAGTTGCCGCAAAGGGGTGGGGGGCGCACTCCGGGGAGGCGGGGGCCCCCGGTGGTCGGTGGAGGCGCGGCCCTCCAGGGGGTAGGAGGGAGGAGGGGGAGAGGGAGGAGGAGGAGGAGGAGGAGGATGAGGAGGAGGAGGAGGAGGAGACGGGCGAGGAGGAGGAGGGGGAGGAGGAGGAGGAGGAGGAGGAGGAGGGAGGAGGAGGAGGAGGAGGAGGAGGAGGAGGAGGAGGACCAGTGTAAACCCAAGAGTCATCAACGATGTTGGGGTAACCCACCCCTCCAAGCTCCCTCTTCATACGCCCCATACAACGTTTCATTTCCATTGAGGGAACTGCCTCGTTGGAAGACACCGTTTGAAGACCTTGAAGCATGCCAAAACATTGTTCTCGGGATTCCAACGCCTCGGATCAACTTCACTGTTGCGTCTTGACGATCCTGAATCGTGCCAGAACGCCATTCCGAGGATTTCAGCACAGAGAGTCAACCTAACTGTTGACCCGCATAATCTTGAATCCTTCCAAAACACCGGTAAACGAATGTACGCGGCGCTAAGGAGGGAGCCAGCCACATTTTGAAAGGAACCGCCCTCAATCCGTGAAACTCTTGCAAATTGTTAAAACGAATGTACGCGGCGCGAAGGCGAGAGTCACATTTTGAAAAGGAATCGCCTTCAATCCGCGAAACTCTTCCAAATTAAAAACGACTATGCGCCGCGCTAAGGCGAGAGCCACACTTCGAAAACGACCCGCCGTTCATTTCTGCTGAAGCTGCTGTCAATGTTTAGGCTTCAGAGTCATAAGTGGTGAGGAAGTCTCAGGCGAAACGCCCGGCCCGCCCTAAAAACTGGCCTCGGGGTTGCGGCAGGCGGAAGTTCTCCATAAGGAAAAGGAAATTGGGGAAGAAGGGAGAGGTGAGAGGAGGAGAGGAGAGAGAGGAGGAGGAGAGGAGAGGAGGAGGAGGAGGGGAAGACTGGGTGTCGAGGCTTCCCAGCCCCCCCCTCGAGGAGACCCTCGACCTTCCTTGTGGCCGCCCCCCCGTCCCCCGCCCCGCCCCGCCCCGCCCCGCCCCGCCCCGCCCGCCCCGCCCTCCCGTTGCTCCTCCCTCCTCTCCCTCCTCTCTCCTTTTTCTCCTCCTCCTCCTCCTCCTCCTTCTCCTCCTCCTCCCTCCTCCCTCCTTCCCTCCGGCCCTCCTCCCTCCTCTCTCCTCCCTCCGCCCTCCCTCGTCCTCCCCTCCTTCCAATCTCCTCCCTGTGCCCACCCCCTCCCCACTCCCTCCTCCCTCCTCCCTCCTCCCCCTCCCTCTTCCCTCCCCCTCCTCCCCTTGACATCTCCCCTCTCCCCCTCCTCCCCCACCTTCCTTCTTCCCTCCCTTTTTTCCCTCTCCTCCCTCCCCCCTCTCTCCCTCCCTCCCCCTGACTCCCCCTCCACCCTTCTCCTCCACCTCCTCCTCCTTCTCCTCCTCCTCCTCCTCCTCTTTTTCCGTCTCCTCTTGCGCCGCCAGGAGGCCGCCGAGGAGGTCCCCGACGCCGCGCGCCGCGAGCAGGATGCCGAGGCTGTGCTCCAGCAGCTCGTCCGGCAGGGCGCTGCCGTGCGGGCCCGGCACGCGGCCGCGGCCTCCGCGCGGGAGCGGCGCTCGACGAGACGCAAGAGTGACCTTTCGCCGGAGTGACCTTTGGTGCGGGCAGAGATGGGTCCCCAGATGGTTCAAAGCGAGGCAGTAGTAGCTGCTTGCGCGCCCAGGTTTGGCCCCCCCGCGGCTCCCAAAACATCGCGCACCAAAGGTCACTCTTACCCAGGGTCACTCTTGCGTGTAGCCGAGGTGCCGGGGCGAGCTGCGGGACGCCTCGGAGGCCGCCCGCGCAGCGGCGAGCTCGGCGGAGCTCAGACGAGGCGTTCAACAAAGCTCGGCATCGCTCGGACGTGTGCATTTTTGCTTCGGCGAGGGCCATCGAGGAGCATCCTCGATCATGTGGCGAAAAAACCACCCACGAAACCGAAAAAAGCACAGGGAATGGACGTCCGAGCGATGGCGAGAAAGGGCCCCGCCTTTGGGGATCGAAGGAGTTGCCATGTCGTCCTCGGCGGAAGGCGGCGGAGGGACAGTGGACGCCTGCAGAAACAGCACGAGGCAGTCTCCGCTGGCGGAGGCCAGCGGAAGTAAAAGTCGTTCCCCCAAGAGACGGCAACCTTTGGGTTCGGGGCTCCCCGAACCCGCCAGATGAGAGGAGCATGCCTTCAGGCTTCCTAGATGGGGTCCAGAGTGGATGGGGTCGGTGGATCGCGCCGCATCGCCGATGCATCGGCGATGCGGCTCGACGTGGAGTCCGAGTGTCTCCACGCCGATGTTACCGAGGCATCGACCACGTCGCTGATGCATCGGTGATGCATCGACCTCATCTGCTCCGACCCCATCTGGGGGGCTTGTAATACCGACCCAGTCCTTCTCGCATCGTGAACGGATCGCGACGGCAAGTTTGGGGTTAGCCTCGGCCTCCGGAGGCCCTGGCTGCAGCCAGGGACCATCGAAGAGGACCTCAGGACGAAGAGCTGTCCCCGGGGGAGGGGTCGAGACTTCAGGGTTCCACGCTGTGCGAATAATTATTGACGTCGTGTTTCGAGAGATCATTTTTCGCTGCCCCATCCCTGTGGCGTGCTCCGCGAGCCAGGGAGGGAGGTCCAGCGCCGATCCAAGAACTTCGCGCGGACGACGACGACGACGACGACCACGACGATGACGACGACGACGACGACGGCGGCGGCGGCGGCGACGACGACGACGACGGCGACGACGACGACGACCGCGACGACGACGACGACGACGACGACGACGACGACGACGACGACGACGACGACGACCACGACCACGACCACGACCACGACCACGACGACTGTGACGACGACGTGGTGGTGGTCGTCGTTGTCGTTGTTGTTATCGTATTGGTGATCGTAGGGGTCGCGGTCATTGTCCTGCCTTGTCGTCGTCGAGGCCGTCGTGGTCATGGTCGGGGTCGGGGTCGGGGTCGTCGTCGCCGTGGTCGTCATCGTCGTCGTCGTCGTCGTCGTTTCTTTGTTCGTTTCACCTTTGGAGAGGCCCGTTGAGCTAGTCTGTTGGTGCCTCAGGAGCAGGCGAGCGCGCGGCTGCAGCAGGCGGCAGCCGCGCTCGAGACGGAGCAGCAGCAGCTGCAGTGCTTCGAGGAGGTGCACCGGTGCTCCTCCTCCTCCTGCGCGGCGACGACCACGACGACGACGGAACAGAAACAGGACGACGACGACGACCACGTGAGCGTTTTTTTTATTCATTCTTTTGCCGATCGGCGCGGGCCCTCGCACCCCCTCCCTCCCTCCCCCCGTGGAGTAGATCTTGGCTGTTTTAGGCGCCTGTTTCAGGCAGGGGGAGTCTCCCCTCATCGGACGCACTGTCGCAAACAGTCGCACTAAGCAGAGGGTCGGAGCCAAACCCCTCCCCCTCCCCCCCCCTTCCGCCCAATGTCGAAACGCCGAATCAAAAACGCTCACCACGACCACGACCACGACCACGACCACGACGACGATGACGACCACGACCAGGACCGCGACCACGACCAGGACGACGACGACGAGGCAGCCTCGTCCCGAAGCACCTCCTCCGAGCAGCTGTAGTTCTTTGCGGACTTGCGCCTGCTTGGAGGAGCAGAGGTTTCTTCGGGACGACGGCACGGGGATCGGGGGCGGCCAAGAGCGGGTGCTGATGACTAGGGTGAAGTCGGGCCTGTCCCTCAACAGGAGGAATAGTTAAAGAATAAAAAATAGTCAGGGGACGTTTTTTTGATCATTTTTGCATTTTAGTGGAGTATTTTTTGACTATTTTCATCTTCGCCCGAAATCCGCCTGTAGGGGGACGTGCCCGACCTAAGACTAGGGGGGGTGGATCTCCTGGCGAGGGCCATGGCCATGCCATCTCGGGTCCCGCGCATGCCTCGCACCGTGATTTGCGACCCCGAGGGGATCATGGCCAAGATGTCGCGGGATCTTGTCGATGCGGGGGCCACGGCCAATCGACTACGCATAGGAGTGACCCTTCGCCGGAGTGATCTATAGTGCGGGCTCATCGGTGTTTCCCCGATCGCTAAGCGCAATGCGATAGCGGCTGCTCGCGAGCTTGGATTTGGCCACTTTGCGCCCCCTCAGTCCTCGCACCAAAGGTCATTCCTGCCTAGGGTCACTCTTGCGTGTATCCGAGCCAGGATGTCGCGGGATCTTATTGAGCCGATCTTGCTCGTGGTCCATGTCGGCCGTCGCCTGTATGCGAGGATGGCCCACGAGTTGACGCTGACCAAGATCCACGGTGGCCAGGATCGACACGGCGTTTCCCGTTCAGTCTGGGTCACGGTCCCCGTTTTCTTCCCCCCAGGTACTGCCAGAAGGTCCAGACCAAGGCGCATTTCCGGGAGGACTTCAAGGGAGAGTTCGCCGCCGTTGCCGCCCGACTGAGCGAGGCCAGGGCGCGGCAGGGCGCATGCGAGGAGTTCGGCAGTAACTCACGGCAGCTTTTGGATGTCCTCGGGATTCCGCCTTCAGAGTGCATCCGTGTGCGCTGGCGTCTGGTAATCGACGGGGAAGCGCCGATTTAGCCTCGACTAGCGTGCTCAGCGTCGGTTATTGTCGATCAGCGCCGGTTCACGTCCGCCAGCGTCGGTTCGCAAGAGCCAGCAATATGGTCTGGGAGGCTCCCATGAGTTGGCACCGACGAGGAGGAGGCGGCGGCGGAGCTTCAGAAGCAGCGAGGTGCCGCCGACGCCGCTCGGCAGGAGTGCGAGAAGAGGCAGCCGGCGGAGGCCGCGGCCCGCGGCGCGCTCGAGGCGGCGGACGCGGAGGCCGAGGCGGCGCAGGGTGCCCTGCTGAAGCTCCAGGAGCTCGAGCGCAGCGCGGAGGCCCTGAAGCGCTGCCTGAGCGAAGAGGATCCACTGGATCCTCCTCCTCCTCCTCCTCCTCCTCCTCCTCCTCCCTCCTCCTCCTCCTCCTCCTCCTCCTCCTCCTCCTCCTCCTCCTCCTCCTCCTCCTCCTCCTCCTCCTCCTCCGCCTCCTCGCGATCCGTCTGGCCCCTATGGGCCGCCAGGCAGAGCAGCAAGCCGAAGCCCCGACACGAACCGAATCCATAGTTTCTCTGATCGGGCCGCCCAAGTGGTGTCCGAGCCGCTGGGGCCTCGCGAGGCAGCGCTGACGCGGCGGCGATGCGGCTCGACGTGGGGCCCCGAGGTGGCCCTCGCGCAGGCGGCGCAGAGGCATCTCGCCGGCGTCACCGGTGCATCGCCGACGCATCGGCGGTGCGGGCGCGATCCTCGGGCCCCCGCTGCTCGGACCCCATCTCTGGGAGGCCCTCCTCCTCCTCCTCCTCCTCCTCCTCCTCCTCCTCCTCCTCCTCCTCCTCCTCCTCCTCCTCCTCCTCCTCCCCCTCCTCCTCCTCCCCCTCCTCCTCCCCCTCCTCCCCTCCCCCTCCTCCTCTCCCCTCCTCCTCCCCCCTCCTCCTCCTCCTCCTCCTCCCCCTTCCTCCTCCTCCTCCTCCTCCCCTCCTCCGCCTCCTCCTCCTCCTCCTCCTCCTCCTCCTCCTCCTCCTCCTCCTCCTCCTCCGCCAGAGGAGCGCCTGTGCGAGAGCTCGAGGGCGGCAGCCGCCGAGGACGAGCGCGCGGCCGCGGCGCTCGCGAGGCACGAGCTGTGGACCTCCGACCTGCAGAACCTCTTCGACGGGCGCCCGGTGCGCGACGCCGCGGCCGTGTGCAGGAGCCTCGAGGCCGCCCTGCCCAGCGGGGACATGGTGCCGGTGATCATTCGCGCGCTCATCGCGGATCGTCGGGGGCCCCCAAACGGGGTGGTGACCACACCGTGTGATGAGTCGGTGGGGGTTCGGGGTCACCGCACGGTTTTGGGGTTTGGGTCGTTCTCCGAGGATGTCTCGGGCGACTCGGACCTCCAGGGTCCCAAAACTGTGTGGTGACGGACCGTGCGGTGAGGTCTTTGCAGATTTCGAGGTCACCGCCGGGTCTGTCACCACACGGTTTTGGGACACCCAAGGATCGGCTGCACGTGGGAGCGGCCTGCCGCCGGAGTGACCCTGGGTGCGCGGCTTTCGGGCGGCACTGTGGGGCCAAGCCCGAGCTCCGTCGCACCGCGCGCAGCTGCCAGCAAGCTGCGCGTCAAAGGTCACTCTAGCCAAGGATCACTCTTACGTGTATCGGCGGCGAGCCCAGGGGAAGTCGGAAGGGGCGGGCCTTCTCAGAAGGCTCGGAAGTCCCCTGGCCTTCTGAGAAGTTTTCTAAGCCTTCCCCGAAGACACGAAACATCTCTCAGAAGGAGCGAGGGCTTCTGAGAAGTCCCGCCGCCTTCTGAGAAGGCCTTCTCCTCCTCGACTCCCCCCCACCCTCGCTCGCCGCCGAGTGCGGTCGACAGGACAGGGACCGCGTGGACGTCCAGAGCAGCACGGGCCTCCAGGTCCGCGAGCTCGTCGGCGTCAGGCTGGAGGGCGTCGCGGCCCGCCTGCGCGCCCGCGCCGCCGAGGGGCGCGACGCGAGGGCCAGCGCGGAGGCGCTGGCGGCGCAGGCGGCGGAGCACGCGCGCCGCTGCGAGCGGCAGCTGCGCGCGCTGATGCGCCGCTGGGCCCGCGGGGATGACGGCAGCCCGGGGGCGGGCACGGCCGCGCCGGGCCCGGGAGGCGTCGCTCTCGCGCCCGGGGCTCCGCTCGGGCGGGGCTCCGCGGAGGAGTGCCGCGCCATCGCCGCACGCAGCGCGGGCTGAGGCGCAGCTCGAGGGGAGGAGCACGGCGGCCACAGACCAGGGCGTCGCGGGATCCCGTCGACGCCGACCTTGGCCACGGTCCACGCCGGGCGTCGCCGACTCGCGATGACGATGAAGGAATTGATGCTGACCAAGATTCTAGGCCTCCTAAGCGAGGTCGAAGAAGTTGGGTTCGGAAGATCGCGCCGCATCGCGGATGCACCGGGCGATGCGTCTTGATGCGGAGCCCGCTTCTCGTCACGCCGACGGCGCTGCTGCACCGCAGGCGTCGCCGATGCATCGGCGACGCATCGGCGATGCGGCGCGAGCCTCCGACCCCTGAGCATTTTCTCAGGGTGGAGGGCTCAGGGTGAAATCCGTATGGGCTTTTTGCCCCTCGAAAATCCATCCGTCCTGTGGTTCACCTTCTGCAGGCTCAGGCCTCAAACATCGATCGAAACGGCATTTCAGGTTTCACCCCGTGCCCTCCACCCAAAGAAAATGCCCAGGACCCCATCTCGCTACTCGGACCCCATTGGGGAGGCCTCCAAAGACGGACGCGGACCGGCCTCGACGGGGCGCTGCCGCGTTCGGCCGGGGTCGCGGTGCCCGTGCTCCTGCCCTCCGCGAGGGGCAGCGGCTGGGGGGGTGGGGCGGACGTCCGAGGCGTCGGCGCTGAGGGGAGGGGGTCCCGGGCGGGGCCGGGGGGGGGCCAGGAGCAGGGGGCCACATGCGAACCCTGCCCCTACCCCCCACGACTTCTGAGGGGGAGGGTGGGGTTCGCGAGTAGTCACTCTGCGAGCAGTGGAACGCGCTCGTCTAAGAGGGCTCAGAAGGCCCCTGGCCTGCCCAGAAGGTTTTTCAGCCTTCTCCGAAGGCACAGGCGGCTTCTGGGAAGGCCGGCGGACTTCTGAGAAGCCCCGCCGACTTCTGAGAAGGCCTGTCCCCTCTCACTTTCCCACTGGGCGCGCCGCCAACTCCCCAAAGCGCCGGGACTATCCAAATTTCTTTCACTGCAAGCTGATCTCGGGGAAAGCCTTGGAGTCAAGGACCCGTTTCCGCCAGAACATCGGGGATCTTCATGCGAATCACCCAAAGTACCGAGGGACCGAAGGACCTCACATGTGCACCTGCTTACTCTTAGGTCGGGCATGTTCTCCTACAGGCGTGTTTTGGATGAAAGATGGGAAAAAGTCAAAACATATTCAAACATAGGCAGAAATAGTTGAAAAATCGTCTCCACACTATTTGGCAACTTTTTGTGAATATTCCTCTTGTAGAGGGACACGCTAGATTTAACCTTACTCCCTTTCTTGTGTGTGTGTGTGCGTTTGTGGGGATCTTGCGGGCATGCCTCCAGAGCGCGCGAGGACGTGCCCCCCCCTCGCGACGCCCTGGGTGGTGCAGCGCGCGATCCAGAGTGCACGGGGAGCGTCGCGTGCCCCTGCCCTGCCGCGGGAGTGCCTCCCTGCCACGCCCCAGGTTGCACGGATGCTAGATTTGAGACGGGCATGTCCCTCTACAGAAAGAAGGTTCAGGAGTAGTAGAACAGCTGTCAGGGGGCGATGTTTCGTGCTCTCTTGACTTTTTTTTGTTCCAGACTATTTTCTATGTTTCTTCCGTCGTCTGTAGGAGGACATGCCCGAGCTGATGCTAGATACCGCATGCTCTTCGCACCCCCTCTGGAGGCGAGGAACTTCCACGCCTGCCGCGCCCTGGAGCGTGGCCCCGACAGAGACCGCACACCTTGCGCGCCCCTTCTGCGGTGGAGAGAATGCCACGCCTGCCACGCCAATTGGAGTGTGGCGCAAACAGAGACCGCACAACCTGCGCACCCTGTCCGGTATCGAGGAAGTGCAACCCTTGCCACACCACTGGAGCGTGGCACGGGTAGAGACCGCACGCCCCGCGCACCCCTTCTGGCATGGAGGAAGTGCCACCCCTGCTGCATCATGAGAGCGGGCGGCGGACGGAGTTCGCACCCCCTGCGCACCCCGTCGGGAGGGAAGAAGATGCCACGCAGGCCATGCCCAGGGAGCGTGCGACGGATGGCGACCGCGCCCCCCTGCGATGGTGGCGAGGCAGTGCCGCGCACGCCGCGCCCTGGGGGCGTGCGACGGACGGAGACCCCCCCCCTCTGGTGGCGAGGAGTTGCCGCGCCTGCCGAGGAGGAGCGGCACGTGCGCGCGGTATGTACGGGTGGCAAGAACAGCCGAGCTGTTCTCGGCAAGGGGGGAGAAACTGTTGAACGGGAGGGCCTAAGTCGCCCGAACCGGCGCGAAGATGATCGCGCCCGGGGCTTCGCGCTTTGCGGTCTGGGCTGGAGAGCTGTTCGTCTCCAGTGGGCGGCGCGAGAGCGCGAAGGTGAGAGCGCTTCGCGCTTCGCGGAGCGGGGATGTGGGTGACCCGGGAGGGTGGGGAGGGTGATTGTCTTGGCTGTCTGACTGATGGCTCGACTTCTCAAGTCTTGCCAGGCTGGACCGTCTCGCTTCGAATTCGCGCTTCCTCTGAGGCGGGCACTTCAGAGGGCACCTCGGCGGACTTCGTGGGCTGTTTTAGCACGAGACCGCCACAGCGCTCCGGATGGGAAAAAAGGCTCTGGCTGCTGTGAACTGTGCGCTGGTCCAGCGAACACACGTTGGGCGAGGAGCCCGTGGCTCACGACTATGACGCACTCTTTTGTCACAGAGGCGCCCACGGCCATGCTCGCATTCAGCGTGCTGCAGGAGATGCAGAGTGAGAAAGATCAGGACGAGGAGGAGGGAGGGGGGGGATGAGGACGACGAGTAACGAGGCATGGGCATCAGACGGGGCCACAGAGGAGCAGTGGCACTTGCCTGTCCAGCGACTCTGTCTCCCTCCGCTTCCGCCTCCGTCTGCCACACCTCCACTCGTGCCTCCGTGTCTCTGCCTCCATCCCTGCCTTCACACGCACGTCTGAGTAGCTTTCTCTCTCTCTCTCTCTCTCCCTCCGCTTGTGCCTGTCTACGTCGACCTCGTCTCTCCTCTACCAGTCCGTCTCTATTCTTCTCTGGTCCCGGCCGCGCCCGCCCGCCCAGTGTGCTCGCTGACAGCTCTGGTCACCAGTCTCGCGCAGGGCTGGAGCAGAAACGGTGCAGTTCTGGCCATGAAGGGTCGGGCGTGACCCGGCCCCCCCCCCCATTCATCGCTCGCCCATAAATTCGCGCTCAAGGGCTCCGCGGGCTCCGCGGTCTCCGCGGGCTCCTCAGTTTTTTCCTCCTGTTCCTTACCCTCGTCTGCTGCTCCTGCTTCTCTCTTCTCGGCACCCGTCTCGTCACTCTCTTGTGCTTGTCTCCTGTCTTCTGCTCTGCGTACCCTCCCCATCCCCGTCCTCCTCCTCCTCCTGCTCCTCCTCATCGCTCCTCGCTCCTCCTCCTCCGCCTCCTCCTCCTTCTCCCCGTCTGATCTTCTATCCTCCCCATTCATTCTCCTCCTCGTCCTCCGCTCCCCCCCCTCCCCGTTGCCCCTCCTCTTTGTTGGTGCCCTCGACTGCTTTCAACGACGCCGTCCTCCATGTATCTAGATGTCCCCCTCCCCCTCCTCCCCATTGCTTCCCTTCCCTCTTTCCTCCCCCTTCTCTTCTCTCGAGGAACAAGGCCCGCGAGGATTTCTTGGATCTGCGCTGGGATCTCCTTGCGGCGCCTCCGGCGCTGCCCCCGGCGCGCGCCAGGGAGGCGGGTCCAGCACAGATCCGAGAAATCCGCGCGGGCCTCCCGCAGGTTATGCTTATGCCGTTTTTGCTCTCCTCTCCTCCCCCTCCCCCCCCTCCCTCGCCCTTGCTCGCCACGAGAGGCGGAGCGCCCGACGTTCACCACCCACCAAACCACGCCAGCCCAACCCGAAGGCCCAGATATCCTCTCGACTTCCAGTGTTTGGGGGGGGTCGGGGGACACCAAAGCACACGTGGAAACCGTTCCCCCCCCCCCAGCCCGAAGCTTGGGCCTTCGCGGGTTAGGCTGGGATGGCCTGGTGGGTGGCCAGACGTGCCAGGCCGGCAGCCCGCCCGAGCGCCTGACGCCGAGGAGCAGGTGGCCGCGCTCGGCGCAGGGCGCCGGCGGCACCGAGGGCGCGGACCGAGCATGGAGGAGGAGGGGGATCGGAGGCAACGACAGGGGGGGATAGGCGTAAGTCGGGCCTCCAGAGGGGGATTTTCGACGAAAAAGAAAAAATGCCCCCAAATGAATCAAAAAATAGTCCAAACATAGTCTGGGGATTATTTTCTGAGTATTTTTTGACCTTTTTGGGGTATTTTTGGGGTATTTTTTTATTTTTCGTCGAAGATCCCCCTGTAGGGGGACACGCCCGACATAAGGATAGGCTTAGAAGTCTCGGGGCTCGCTGGGGGCTGGTTTCCTGCCCGAACACCGAGGCGGAGGGGGATCAGAGGCAGCGACAGGGGGGGGGACAGTCAGGCGATCGCAAGCATGGATCAAGGGGGCGTGGATTAGCGACGGGTCCCGTCTCCATGGGAAGTCGCGGATTGCCGCCGCCGAGCGAGGCGGCACCGGCCGCATTTTGGGGAGGGCACCTCCCCCGATGCATGGCTTTGGCGACCGCGCGCCAAATCCATGGATCGCTAATCCATGTTTGCGCACCCCCAAGAGAAGCTTAGAAAACGCAGGGTTCGCTAGGGGCTGGTTCCCCGCCAAGACCACGGAGACCCTTGCCAAACCCTCCCGAAACCCTCCGAAAAGACCTCTGGGCGTCAACGTGGAGGGTTTATCCGAAGGGCTCAGGTGACCCGTCCTCCTCATCCTCCACCTCCTCCTCCACCTCCTCCTTCTCCTCCTCCTCCTCCTCCTCCTCCTCGGGTCGCCTGCGGCCCCAGGGGAAACCGTGCAGGTCAACGTCATGAAGCAATCATGACGTCGGGGGCCAGGCAGGGCTGCCTGCGATCCGATGCGATGCGGTTCGATTCGACGGCTAGGGCCGCGGTTCTAATGCGATGCGACCCGTTTCTATTCTTACAATTTGCCTGTTTTTCTACAGGAGGAATATTCAAAAATAGTAAAACAATAGTCAGGGGACGTTTTTTTTTCTCGTTGTTTGTTTATTTTGTTGTTTTGTTTACTTTTTGATTTTATGAATTATGTAAACATTATTCTTCGAGTATTTTGTTTTTCGTCGAAAATGGGCCTGCAGGGGGACATGCCCGACCTACTTCTATTCACCGGCATCGGCCAGGGCCAGCCGGAAGCGGGGCGCGGGGGTTCGATACCGATCCGATTCGCGACGACTCGCTGGCGATTCGGTCCGCTCTCGATCCGATCTCTGGTTTCGCGATCCGATCGAGCGCAGCCCTGCAAGGGTCTAAGAAGGGCCGGGAGAGCGGCGCCTTCAGAAGCTGGGAGACATTCTGTCGGGGTTCCCAGTGAGCAGGGGCAGGCGCAGAGGGGGGGATGCACCGAACCCCAATCGCCCATTTATCGCCGATGTGGGTCCGACAGCCCCAACCTGCCAAGGAACGTTCAGGAGGGAAAGAAACACACAGACACAATTAATCGTCGAGTCCCAGGAAAATATGGAAATTGGGCGGAAAGACAAAAACCCAGAAACTATGGGAAAATATGATGAGTCATTTTAAAAATGTGTGTATTTATTTGTGTGTCCCAGGGCCCCTTCAAACGTGTGGATGCACTATCGGGGGCCGATCGCCGATCTGTCGGCCATTTTCATGCCGATGCCAGGTCGATGTGTCCTCCCCCTGTGCCAGTCCCCCCTATCGTTGCCCCTTCAGGGGCTGAAATGGCAGGGGGTGGGGAAGACGAGGCCTGATGATGATGCTGATGATGATGATGATGCTGCTGCTGATGATGATGATGATGATGGTGGTGGTGGTGGTGGTGATGATGATGATGATGGTGATGGTGGTGGTGGTGATGATGATTATTATTATGATGATGATGGTGATGGTGGTGGTGGTGATGATGATTATTATTATGATGAGGATGGTAGTGATGATGATGGTGAAGGTGATGATGACATGATGATGACGACGATGATGCTGCTGTTACTGATGTTGATGATGGTGACGATAACGATTACGGTGATTGTGATAGTGAGTTGATCAGGATGATGATGATGATGATGATGATGATGATGATGATGATGATGATGATGATGATGATGATGATGATGATGATGATGATGATGATGATGATGACGATGACGATGACGATGATGATGAATCCGCCGATCCGGCGTGTGAGTTCAAGAAGTCTAAGCTGAAGTTCTGCTTCAGTATGAGCTTTAGCTCTGCTTGGGAGGGGGGGGGGGGGACCTCATTAACTGTCGAATTCGGTGCTCGGCACCTCCCCCCCCCTGCCAGCCCCCCCCCCCCCCCCCCCCCCTTGATTTCGGCCCCCCCCCCCCTCCGAGTTTTGCTCTGCAAGGGTGAGGGCAGGAGAGGAGGGGGGGCCGCTCTGCAGGGGGGGGGGCTGCAAAGGGAGGGGGGCCCCTCTCAGGCGGGAGCGGGAGCTGCAGGGAAAGGCGGGAGGGTCCGCTTTGCAGATGGGCGCTCTGCAAGGGGAGGGGGGGAGGGGGGGAACAGAGAGAGGGGGGGGACAGGAGAGGGGAGGGGGGGGGGGGGTGGGGAGGGGGGAGGGGGGGGGGGACAGGGGGGGGGGGGGGACAGGGGGGGGGGGGGAGGGGGGACAGGAGAAGGGGGGAGGGGGGGGACAGTGGGGGGAGAGCAGAAAGAGGAGGGGGGGGCGATCATCACCATCTCCATCACCACCACCATCACCATCGTCACATCACCATCATCATCATCATCATCATCATCATCATCATCATCATCATCATCATCATCATCATCATCATCATCATCATCAACTTCATCATCATCTTCTGGAGCGTCCCGGATCGGCGGCACTGGCCGGAGGCCACTACACTATGCTGATAATGATGATGCTGATGATGATGATGATGATGATGATGGTGTTGATGATGATAATGATGATGATGATGATGATGATGGTGATAGGGGATGGTGATGATGCTGCTGATGATGAGGATGACGATGACGATGACGATGACGATGATAATGAGGATGA